TTCTTCTTCCCCCTCCTTCTTCTTCTTCCCCCTCCTTCTTCTTCTTCTTCCCCCTCCTTCCTCCTCTCCTTCCTCTTCTTCTTCTTCTTCTCCTTCCTCTTCTCCTTCCTCTTCTCCTTCCTTCTTCTTCTTCTTCTTCTTCTTCCCCCTCCTTCTTCTCCTTCCCTCCTCCTTCCTCCTCTCCTTCTTCTTCTTCTTCTTCTTCTTCTTCTTCTTCTTCTTCTTCTTCTTCTTCTTCTTCTTCTTCTTCTTCTTCTTCTTCCCCCTCCTTCTCCTCCTTCCTCCTCTCCTTCCTCTTCTTCTTCTTCTTCTCCTTCCTCTTCTCCTTCCTCCTCCTCCTTCCTTCTCCTCCTTCTTCCTCCTCCCTCTTCTTCTTCTTCTTCTTCTTCTTCTTCTTCTTCTTCTTCTTCTTCTTCCCCCGCCTTCTTCTTCTCCTTCCCTCCTCCTTCCTCTTCTTCTTCTTCTTCTTCCCCGCCCTCCTTCTCCTTCCCTCCTCCTTCCTCTTCTTCTTCTTCTTCTCCTTCCTCTTCTCCTTCCTCCTCCTCCTTCCTCCTCCTCCTCCTTCCTCCTCCCTCTTCTTCTTCTTCTTCTTCCCCCTCCTTCGTCTCCTTCCCTCCTCCTTCCTCCTCTCCTTTCTCTTCTTCTTCTTCTTCTCCTTCTTCTTCTTCTTCTTCCCCCTCCTTCGTCTCCTTCCCTCCTCCTTCCTCCTCTCCTTCCTCTTCTTCTTCTTCTTCTCCTTCCTCTTCTCCTTCCTCCTCCTCCTTCCTCCTCCTCCTCCTCCTTCCTCCTCCCCTCTTCTTCTCCTTCCCTCCTCCTTCCTCCTCTCCTTCCTCTTCTTCTTCTTCTTCTTCTTCTTCTTCTTCTTCTTCCCCCGCCCTCTTCTTCTCCTTCCCTCCTCCTTCCTCCTCTCCTTCCTCTTCTTCTTCTTCTTCTCCTTCCTCTTCTCCTTCCTCCTCCTCCTTCCTATTCTCCTTCCTCCTCTTCCTCCTCTTCCTTCCTCCTCTTCCTTCCTCTTCGACTTCCTCCTCTTCTTCTTCCTCCTCTTCTTCCTCCTCTTCTTCTTCCTCTTCGACTTCCTCTTCTCCCTTCCTCCTCCTCCTTCCTCCTCTTCTTCCTCTTCCTCTTCTCCCTTCCTCCTCTTCTTGCTCTTCTTCTTCCTCTTCTTCTTCCTCTTCCTGTTCTTCTTCTTCTTCTTCTTCTTCTTCTTCTTCTTCTTATTCTGCTTCTGCTTCTGCTTCTTCTTCTTCTCCTTCTTCTTCTTCTTCTTCGTCGTCGTCATCTTCTTCTTTGTCGTCTTCTTCTTCGTCTTCTTCTTCGTCTTCTTCTTCGTCTTGTTGTTGTTGTTGTTGTTGTTGTTGTTGTTGTTGTTGTT